GGAAATTCTTGTATAAATTTTGACCAAAATAGAGCTGAAAACAGATCCATGTATCACAACATTAGAGATCTTCCTTTAGATTGGCACTATTTTATTAATCCTCTTTTCCATGTGGTCATTCAGCATCTCTCATTTCTATCTAATCATAATGTCTTTTCATAAGTAATGAAAGATTTTATCAAACATATTCCTGAATGCAAGTTTATCATACCAAGGATATGGTTTGAAGTTGAATTAATTTGACCCTATTAAAAATGAAATTATATCTAATGTAATTATTTTGTTGTCAATTTATACTGTTCCTTGATCATTTTTTCCTTTTCTAAATGCTACCAAACATCCTTAAAATATTTTGTACATTTATTATGGACCAGTGTTAAGTGTAAGATACTATAGTTAATAGAATATACTTTCTGTTACTAAAAACAAGATCTTCATTAGATCATCCTCTGTCTTTTGATAAGCTTTCCTTCTTCATGATTGTAGAGATCAATCAAAAAGTATATATATTCTTTCTTTTCCTTCTTCCATTACATATAACAGAAAAGCCCATTTTCTTTACATTGACAATTTGTGTAAGCTTCTGTTCATTTAGAGCTTTAAACTTTCTGCTCATCTTCCTATAGATTTGTTCTGCTGTCTCTTATGTACACTTTGTCATGTATTCTTCTTTTATAAAAACAAGGAAAAAATTATTTTAAAAGGTGACACACAATTACAGGTAGATACATGAAAAAGAATAAATGGAAGAGCTAAAGAAACTTCTGAAAGGAACTATCTACTTAATTTCTGACCTTTTAAATTTCATGATTCTTTCAATTAACTTTATTTATGATAGAAATCGGATATCTCAGGTTTGACACATAGACATACATTTTTGGTTTTCTTAATCATTCAGGTGAATGTAAAGGAATAAGTACTATTTAAAATAGGATCATTGAGCATATAGTGATTATCATAGGTAGGATAAAAGTGTGATATATAGAAGAAGAAATGGCCCATTCCTATGGCTCACATGAAGTTTGAAGTGATTTATAACATGTGACAAATTACACTTGTAGAAGAGAGACAGGGAGAAGTTACCAAAACAGAGCACAATTCTTATTAGTAGGAAGGTAAAAGAATGATGATGTAACTTGAAAAGGAATTACAGAAGCATTTGAAGTTGAAAAAGCATTTGGAGTTGATTGTTACAGATTTGATTACAAAATACTATTCTACATTATTTTTGTCATACTTGTTTAATAGAAAGAATTAGGCCTAAATGAAAATAGAGACATTACTTAAAATTATGTCATATTTTGATAATATTCTTTTATATTGTGAGCTATTAAATTATGACTATTATTGGAAACCTTAAGGAAAATTTCTAAATATTAATATAAAGAGAACATATGAGCTCAAAAGTACTTACTTATTTGTATTTCTAGTAAAATGTAGTGATTTTGTCATGTAAAGACTGAAAGGAAATTGTCTTGTGTAAGAGTTGATGAGTGAAGGATATTTCAGTAAAGAATAAAAACTGAGATTCATTCTAGGAGAAGATTATACCTACTACCTGTAGTGAACATTAAAAAATCTCACTATGAGTCACTGCATAGAGAAAATTTGTTTTCAATAAGTAAATTAGAAAACATTACATATAAAATTGAAAAGTTAGAAACTTTAGGATATTTAATTAAGTATATCTGTATTGTGTGGTATAGGAATTTTGGCCAAAAATTGTAAATACAGGAGACCAGGACACATATCCCAATGTCTTTTCTAAGTTATAGAATAAAGGCTGTTTAAACAAATAGACAGGTCAAAATAGTAGGGGAAGTGTGAGGATGCATTCTCTATTTTGAAATTCCATCAGCTATGATATATCAGAGAGTTTATCTGACTTTCCTCTTCTTGGATGAAGGTGGTGCCATTCACTAAAACTAAGAATAAGTACTAATGATTTAGAGGAGAAAATGTGACTTTAATTTTCTTGAGTATGAGATGTCTGTGAGACCAGGGTGAAAGAGCACAGATTGGTTGTTATGATCATTAAATGAGTTGATATCTGTAATGAGTTTAAAATATGGCAAATGATAAGCACTATCTAAGTGCTCTGTAAGCAAATATACAAAAGCAAGCATCTCAGAAAGAAGATCTATATGATGATAAATGTTTGTGAGTCTTAAGAATTTATATCAGCATTTCTCACCAAGAAGAGTATAATATCCTGGGAAAATTTTTCAATATACAAACATATGCCCCCTCCTAAGGTTCTGAGGTTTTCCCTGTGCCAGAGACTATCAGTTGCCTATCCGTATCTATCCTTTTCTTCTTTCTTGGTAATAAGCCCACAATTTTAATCCAGGCAGCAAAATATCTAGAAAAAGGCCACGTTCCCTTCCCTCCCCTTTGTAGCTGTAGATGGCCAAAGATATAAACAGAAGTTATTTGAAGAACCTCTGGGAAAGCTCCTTAAGACACATGGTTTTTGCCCTTTTGTCATTTCCCCTTTCCTCCATCTTCCTGATACTATGTTTGGAGATCTAGTACCTATCTTGACTCACCAGAAAACTTTTAGGAAAGAACCTATGCAGATACAGTAAGACAGAGATGATAAAGGAATTTTGAAAGAGCCTGGTCCCTGATGACCTGGTGATACTTCTGTAACAGTCCTGGATGAACTGTGAGGAGAAAAACAGATAACACAATATTATTAAAACATCCAACCAGTTTATGGACATTTTACAATTTATATTTGACAATGCTCGCATTCTCCATGAGCTCCTCTTCAATATTCTACTTGTTATTCCTCCCACACATATCTGATCAATTTGTACTTTTAAGATCTTTGATAATTCTGGTCCCATTTCTCCCTCCTTTTCTTCCTATGTTACTGCCCCTCCTTTTTCCTTCTGTTATTGCCTTTTAGTGTTCTGTGAAATAATTGTTTCTCTCTTTCTTACTCAGAATCTTCCTTCAGGCTCTCTGGGCAACACTATCCTGCTTCTTTTTAATCTTTGTTTCTCCTCCTCCCTTGTTCCTTTTGTCATGGCACACTCCTGGCAGGACCACCTTTCCCTCGATCTTTCTTATAGTATTGTCCAAGGTACATCATTAACTGTTAATAGAAGGACAATTTATCAAAATTATACGCAATGAAAATGGAGCTCTTCTTTTTTCCTTAACTCTTCTTGCCTCACATGTTTTTTTGTTTTTTATAAATGAAAATCAATCATGAAAATGTATAATACATGTGAGAGCTCTTTGAAAACTAAAACACATGAGATACTACCATTGTCATTGCTTTTGTCTTCACAGAATATATATTCTCCTGTTGATTTAAAAAATTCTAATGAGCACAGAAAACATGTATCCTCTATTTTATATGAATTAAAAACAAAAGATATTGGCAGGAAATCCAAAAAATCAAGACATCTCATTCAAAAAGGTTAGTTATATAGATTTTTAATTGTATTTAATAAACATATTTTGATGAAGACTAAATAATATAATTAGAAGTTGGGCATACTGATTTTGAGCTATAAATATAAGAGTCCATGAAATATATGTTGAGACTTCTAGATAAAATATCTGTATCTCATTCAACATTTTCTGAATATACATATTCAGAAGGTGATTTCATGGATATCATGAACCTGATTTTGGGTAGAAATTGGGCATTAGGAGAAATTGGTGTTAGCAAGAATCATACTGATAGCTTTGTTACTGTATGGCTATGCCACCATTGTATCTCCTTCAGGAAATATCAAGTATCAGATTAATTATTATAAATTATTTAAATTAAAAAATAATGTTAAATTTCCTTCAGCAGTTTCTTTTTCTACCAGGTGTTCTGTAGTTTCACAGTGATTTGTCTCAGTTTTTGTTTTATTGGTTTATTTCACTTTATTCAATTTAGAGTGCCTTTTCATTCTGAAAATTTATGTCTCACAATTCTTCATATTTTTCTTATAGTATTTTTTGTGTCAAGTATACAGAACATAAGATTTACCATTTTAACCATTTTTAACTGCACAGCTATGTGGTAATAAATCCATTCATATTATTGTACAACTATCCCAAACATCTATCTCCAGAATTTTTTCATCTTCCCTAACTAAAACTCTGTATTCATTAAACACTAGCTCCCAATTCTTTCCTAACCTCAGCCCCTGGCAACCACTATTCTACTCTTTGTCTCTCTATTTTGATTACTTGTGGTATCTCATATAAGTGGGATCATGCAATATTTGTCCTTGTGGGACTGACTTATTTCACTTAGCATAATGTCTTCAAGGTTCATCTATGCTGTATCATGTGTCAGAATTTTCTTCCTTTTTAAGGCTGATATTCTATTGTGTGTATATAACACGTTTTTCTTATCCATTTATTCATCAGTGGATACTTGGGTTGCTTCCACACTTTAGCGATTGTGAACAATGATCCTATTAATGTGGGTGTACAATTGAGACCCTGCTTTCAATTATTTGGAGTATACCTGGAGGTAGAATTTCCAGATCATGGTAATTACACTTTTAATTTTTTGAGGAATAGTCATACTATTTTCCAAAGCAGATGTGCTATTTTACATTCCCACCAACATTGCACAAGGGTTCCAATTACTCCACATTCTGGTCAACACTTGATATTTCCTGTTTGTTTGTTTTTTTGTTTGCTTAAATTATAGCCATCCTACTGGGTGTGAGGTGGTACTTCATTGTAGTTTTAATTTGCATTTCCCTAATGATTGATAGTGTTGGGCACCTTCATCTTTTCATTTACTTACTTGGCTATTTGGGTATGTTATTTGGAGAAATGTCTATCCAAGACCTTTGTCAGTTTCTTAATTGGGTTGTTTGTATTTTTGTTGTTGAATAGTGTGCTTTCTTTATGTATTCTGGATATCAGTCCTTTATCAGATATATGATTTCTTCAAATATTTTCTCCCATTTTATGTGTTTCCTTTTCACTCTGTTTATAGTGTTATTTGATACTAAAAAGTTTTTAATTTTGATAAAGTCGACTTACTTATTTTTTTCTTTTATTATCTGTACTTTTGTGTCATATTCAATAAATCATTGACAAATTCAATGTCATTAAACTTTTAGTTTTAGCTCTTACATTTAGGTCTTTGATCCATTTGGGGTTAAATTTTCCATATAATTAGAATAAGAGTACAACTTCAGATTTTTTTGTGTGTATGGATATCCAGCTTTTTGAACATCTGTTGCTGAAAAGATTGTCCTTTCCCCATTGAATGGTCTTGAAAGTCTTGTTGAAAATCATTTGACCATATATGCAAGAGTTTATATCTGTTTATTTTATTCTATTCTATTGATCTATATGTCTGTTGTTATGTCACATACTCTTTTGACTATCATAGTTTTGAAGTAAGTTTCAAAATTAGGATGAGTGAAACCTCTAATTTTTTTCTTATCATCAATATTTTTGGCTCTTTTGGGTCCCTTGCAATTCCATATGAATTTGGGGCTGGAATTTATTTCCACAAGAAATACCATTGAAATTTTAATGGAAATTACATACAGTTTGTAGATCACTTTGGCTAGTATCTTAACAATATTAAGTTTTCTAATTCATAAATATAGAATGTGTTTCCACAGACTGACTAGAATGTTCTAAATAATTTCTACTCTGCTTCTTCCATCCTCCCTTACTTATGGAGGGAAAATTGAATGGGTTATTTCTTCCCAACCTTTTCTGTAGTGAGCAGATATATGCACAGCTACCCCCAAAAGCTGAGGGAGCTGAGGGGCCAAAGAAAGTGGCTGACAAATCCAATTTCTCAGAAAGAAATATTTAATAGGGACTATAAACAAATAATGTCTCAGGTGGCTACAAGACTATATATCCCTGAACCCACTCTCCAGAAAGAATCCTTTTTATAGCGGGCTTTTAAGGTAAAGACACGTGTAGCTGGTCATGCCTCAGCCTTTTTTCTGAAACTCGTGACCACTGGGAAGATTAGATAAGTATCTTTGTGAGGGGTTATTTATGCCACAGGCATTGTTTAATGACCTTGCTGCAGAACACCCTAGTATGCAGGAGTCAACATCATCAATCATCAGGGAGGGAGGTTTTGCTTCAAGATAGTGTCTTTCTTGCCATGAAACAGGCTGTTTTCCTACACAACTACACTGCACCACACTGAGGAGATGGGTAGACCATGGCAAATAAAATCACCACAAAATGTCTCTCTGTTTTGCGTATGGTTTTTTCTTAGCAGGGCATTCACTTAGTTGCTGTTAATTTTTTATTCATTTCCAGAGGTCCTTTAGTCATTATCTAGTTGTTTATTTCATTTTTCTGTGTGGGAAACATTTTATCTTGTAATTATGATATTTTTCAATTATGTGATAAAATTTATAAAATCCAAATTTTTTCCATTATTCCTTTTACACACACATATACACACACACAATGGTATTCTTGGTTCATAGGTACAATATCTTCTCTATACTTCTAAGGATATTAATGCTATATGAATTTGTTTAATTTTTTGTGGGTATCTCTTCTGCACACTGAATTCTCCTATTCTCCCAAGTGACTTTTTTCTTAGAGCTTTTTTCTAAAATTCTGGTAATCTTTGTGCATTTACTCCCATTTAAGAAGTTTCTGAAATATTATTTGAAAACTGTGTTTATGTATGTGGCTTTTTTTTTTTTGACATGTGATCTTTAATGTAGAACAATAAGTGGGGTCCAGATGTTTTATTCTGAGATCCGAAAAATGAGGTTTTTCCAACTGAAGATTCATCTGGTATTCTACCTGTGATATATGAGAAACTGCTACTGTTCTCAGCAAAATTTGATATGAAAACTTTAATTTCATTATCCTATTTTTAGTCAGGTACTTTACCCTCTATCTTTAGCTGTGCCTGAAGTCCCTGAATTTAGAACCTCTCTGGTTTAACATTTGAGGAGGGTGAGACTTTAGTTTCCTGCCATGGCAAAAGAGTGGAAGAATCTCCTGAGTATGTGTAGTTGCTCAGAGGATCAGTTGGTCTAATTATGCCTTTCAAACAATTTTTCAACCAGCTTCCAATTCCTAGCCTTTGTAGTATTCACATTGTGAATAAGCTTTCTTCTTTGCTTCCCCACAGCAGATCTTATTTTTTTTTTATTTTTAATTTTTGAGACGTCTCATTCCGTTGCCCAGGCTAGAGTGCCATGGTGTCAGTCTAGCTCACAGCACCCTCAAACTCCTGGGCTTGGGTGATCCTCCTGCCTCAGCCTCCCGAGTAGCTGGGACTATAGACACGCACCATCATGCCTGGCTGATTTTTTTTTTTTTTTCCTTCTGTTTTTAGTAGAGACAGGGTCTCACTCTTGCTCAGGCTGGTCTCAAATACCACAACAAATCTTAAATGTTGAATTACTAGTGTTTGTTGTCAGTTACCTCTCATCCACCTGCTTTCCAGCTTCCAAATGTGTTTTTGGTGTCATTGCTATGTTCCACCTTTCTTTTTATTGTCTTTAGAAATTGTTTTTAAAAAAATTTTGATCTTGGTACTGGGGTGTGAGTAGGGAGCAGAGAAAAAGAACATATATTCAAAATATTTAATTCACTTGAACTCTATATTGATATTTTATATTGCATTAACTTGTGTCCACAGTTTATATTACATTTGTGAGAACAGGAAAAGTGAGAAGGACAAGGAGAAAGAAGTGGAAAGTACAGAATTTTGAGATACCTATCCTCTTCCAGGCAAGGGACGTCTGAACCCTTGGAAAATATTGCTCATAAGTCATGCTGAGCCCTAACTGACTTCCCTCTCGTGTGAATGCTTTACACATCAACATCTAATGGATCATGAAAATTAAAAAGCGTTTGCTATTCCACTGCTAGATAATGCCACATTGTAACATTTAATTTATTATTTCTGTTTTACAGATGAGGAAGGTGAGTTTACATAGCTAATTTATCCAAGGTCACAAAATCCAAAAACGCCAAAGCTGTCACTCTGTTCTGTATCTGTTTCTTGATTCAAAGTCTAGTGTTGGCCTTTCTATTTCACCATTGTGCCTCCTGAGGACTGAAAATACATTGCTATGTGATAATTAAGGCTTATTCATGGGAATGTGTTTGTGCTAGAGTAAGCTATGTTAAATCCATAAAATTTAATAAAATCTGTCATTCCCTTTGTCAGTCTAAATATCGTAGAATCACACATTTTATATAAAATTCTATTAATTGTTTCTCGTTTATTTTTTAAATTTCTCATGTTAAAAATAAAAGCCATGGGAAGTGAAAGGGTATCTTATCTAAAGATACTATAATTAGAAGAATTACAGTAAAAATGGCATTTCGTTTTTCTATATTTCTTTAATTTAAGTCACAGCCAATTAACTTATACTCATTTTAACAAAATAATTATTTTAAAAGCAGCCCAAATTGTACGCACGTTGCTTGAACATATTACTTTTATTT